AACGCCGGACCTCTATCAGACACATTTGTTTTGGAATCCCAAATTTAGCCCACAATTTTTATAATAATTTGATAATAACCTTGGTCGTTTACCCATGAACTTCTTCATATTCAACCCATTTAGAAAATGAATCCACAATTAATGTGTCTTTTTATCAAAATCAATAAAAATTTATGTGGACCCTTTCCCACGGTTGACTTGACCTTAGCCACACACTTCCCATTCCTTTATGGGGCATGCGGGCACAGGTATTACATGGAACACATTTATTTGTAATTTTTTCATATTCATACCAGGCCACCTTCAATCCTATCTCTGCCTTGATGAGAGAGCGGTATGTAATAAACATAAAATCTAATCGCGTAATTTTCATGGTAAAACAACATGATTTACACGCATTATTACAATCGTCCACAATTGACAATTCTTTTTATATTTTTTTATATGGATCATGTCTAAACACAATTTTAACTGACTTAAAGCCTTGTCTTTCAAGGTATTTATTTTAAGATTTTCCCAAGTGGTAGGACCTCTTAACATATATGATAGAGTGCGAATTAATGCATCTTCTCTATCTATAATTTAATTGTCGATTACTTTAAGATTTACACAGCCCGATCTTAATCGGGACAAAATATCTGGCAAATGATTCTCTTTCCCTCACCGATATTTAATTTCCACATTTAAACTTCCCACAAGTAACAACCAACGTTGTAATCTCGACATCATTAATTCTTTGTTATCTTTTTAAAACAAATGAATCAAGGGTTTATGATGAGTATAAATCACGAATTTTTTACCAATTAAATATTCACACTTTGTTAATCTAAAATAATCGCAAGGGCTTCCTGTTCAATAACAGAATACCGGGTTTTAACTTCATGAAAAATTCTTGAAAAAAAATAATTGATCTCTCTAAACCATCAATTAGATGTAATAACGCGCCTCCGACACCTTTATTGGATGCATCTACTGCCTTGATTATTTCTAAATCGTTATTAAAACACACTAAAAGTGTCTCTTCGCAAATTTTATTCCTTAATATTTCGAAAGCACTTTGTTGTTCAATTTTTCACTCAACACCTTTAATAAATCATATGGTGGAGATGCCTCATTTGCAAAATTTTCCACCAAACTATGATAATAATTTACCATGCCCAAAAAGGACTGCACCTCAGCATTATCTTTAGCTAATTCATATTTAATATATTTTTAAAATTTTTATCAAGCAGTTTCACTTCGACCCCATTAATTTGATGACCCTAATATACAATTTCGGTTACACCAAGAACACTTTTTTCTTTACTGGCTCAAATCTTTATCACGAATTTTCTTAACTTTTTCAGGACGTTGATTATGTTGCTATGGTGTCACCCCAGTTATCAACACATCATCCATATAATAAAATAAACTTTCTAATCTCTGGAAAACAGTGACATAGTACGCTGAAAAATCGGCGCTGTCACACTTAATCCAAACGGTAACCTACAAAAGGCAAATGATGCTTTAGGAGTCGTTATCATAAACAATTTACGAATTTCCTTCCTCCTTCAAAGATAACTATAAATAAGCTGAAGAAAAATCAACTTTTGAAAAATATTGGCACATTTTAAATTGTTCATAATTTCTTCAATTCTAGGCAATAAATATTTTATGCCATTTTTGACCCAAGATCTAACTCTTCTTCGATTCTTTTTTCTACTCAAAACACAGCAAAGTGTCTTCAAAAATTATACAATATTTTTCCATTTAAATAGATATATCTTCACAAAATTTATTAAATTCAAAATCAACCATTTGATTTTCATTAATTTCAATGTACTTTTAGAACTATAACAATTAATTCATCGGAAATTCCACAAATATCAGAATTAATGAGTATCCTCAATTTAACCCGATGACACAAGCATTGTTCATTCAATCTTTCAGCCATTAAAATTTTATGTTTTAATAGGCTTAAAAATATTTATTATATTTATATTTTCACTTTCAATATAATTTATATTCCTGCTAATATTCATCCCTGAATTTAATGGCCTCTGAATATTATTAATTTTTTTATTATAAATCTCCCATGGATATTTCCCACCTTTCTTATTACAAAATTCCTTTTTATTAAGATTATTAGTCAATAAAAAATTTTATTTCATCAAAATGACAATAAAAATTTCCAACACTGCAAATCTTTTTATTAGAGTTAAAATTCGTTTTACAACTATCAATCCCATGACAATTGTATTTTTTATTAAATATATCCAAAGAATTTTTTACATATATTAAAAATTTTATTATTATAAATATATGGTTTTTCGATTTTTATATGATTTTCTCGCAAATCATATAGTTACTGCAATCCACTCATGGATTGGACAATGCATAGCAATATGACCCATTTCTTCACATCTGAAACACAATCGGGCACTCTATTTCATTTAAATTTGAAATGATAGGATTTTTCATGTTACGAACTACCGGGTTTATCAATACTGGTGATCTCTGCGGAAACCATTTTTAAAATTTACTTCTTTCACGATGCAATTTATTTTTATATAATCTAAGAAACCACATCGATGACAATTTTTATAACTTATTTTTGCATTAACATTTTCATTAATTTTTCGATTACGCGAAAATAATTTTTTTCATTATGACCTTTTCGGCCACAACAATTCACAAAAATTTTTTTTTTTTATTTTTATGTGTATATATGTCTCTAGAAAAGCTCTTTAAATTTTCTTTAATTTCCCTGATCTCACGTAGAATCAAATATACACTTTCACTTTGTTCAACATTATTAACGCTATTACTTTTTATAACCTCCACAGAATCACAACTTCAGATATTTGCTTTCTAATTTCACTCAAAAGTGAATTCAAATTATCATTCATATCTTTCGATATACATGCACTTTCTGAAATATTATGTACAACACTTGTATCTAATTTTAATTGCATAATTCCCACTTATCTATTTTTTTTACCACTAAAGTTTTTGAGCTCAATTAAAATCAAGTTCAAACTATATTTTATATCTTCAGGAAAATGTGAAGACTTGTCAGATGCCACAGAAATTACATCCACAATATTTAAATCCTTTAACTTACCTTATTTAATTTCTTCTTTATTTTATTAATTAATTGTTGAACAACAATTAAATATGCATATAATATGAAAAAAATTAAAGTCGTAACCACACTATTGGTCTTCTTAGAAATTGACATTTTATTAAAAGTAGGCCTATAAGAACTAATGAAAGAATAAATCATATTTTCATTTATTTACTAACAAAAATTTTATTATATGTAACAATTTTAATTATCCAAAAATCTTATAAAATTTTAATTGCCTTAAAAATTAATTATCCTAAAAAAAAATTTAAAATTAATTATAATATTAGTACAATTTGCGTTGTATGTATATTAAAATCAAATATTCAAAATGTTAAAAAAATTTGTTTTACCTGTAATGAATGAGAATAATCTATTAGAAACTCTGTCCTAGAATTTGATTCTCTTCTGATTTGTTCTTTTCTGATATATGAACTTGTCATAGAATGAATTCAAAAATATGTTTTTTATAATCTAGAATTGGATTGCTTCACTTGCGCAAATGTTTAAAATGAGAAAATTAATTAAAGTTTAAAATCAAATATAGGAAAAAGTTATTGATTAATTTGACAATAACTTTGGCAAAAATTAATATTTCTTAATCTAATTTTTATTTTTTATATATATTGGGAATAAATAAGTTATTTACACTTCTAACTCAAAAATTTTGAATGTTTAAAATGAGAAAATCAACATTGTTAAAATCAAATACAGGAAAAAGTTATTGATCAATTTTGACAATAACTTTGGCAAAAATTAATATTTTTTAATCTAGTTTTTATTTTTATATATATTGGGAAGAAATAAGTTATTATCCACTTCTAACTCGAAAATTTTGAAAATGTCGAGTGGAGCGCTTAAATTCTAGATCGACGATATATTTCTTATTTTTATGATTGCATCTTAACCTTTCATAATATTTTTACTTATGAAAAAAAAACATTTTTTTAAATATAATTATATACGAACAATTAATAGTTAGGATTAGGGTGTACCGATATCACTTTTTGGAAGCCGACCCCATCCGATATTTCCGATATTATATTGATATCGGCCGATTACCGATCCGATATCATATCTAATTTTGAATTCTGTGAAGATACCAATGGTTTTAAATTTTAATATACTTTTTATTAGTATAACATCTATAATCTAACTATACCATAACTTATATCATTTAAATATATTATAATGATCAGTTATAGTTTATATTCAATTGCAATTCTAAAAGTATATAAAATATTTTTTGTTAAATTACTTTTATATGATAAGTAATAACATTAATTTATATACATAACAATTAATAAACAAATATATTTTGAAATTTGAATAAATATTTTAAATAATATTTAACATTAATATATCGAAGATTTCTTTTTAGACATGCCAAAATTTCCAATTTAGCAGAGGTCAGCCTGCGGATGGTAACTGTCAATATCACCAGCTTCACCAAAAATTGATTTTGAAGAGGAGATTATCGCACACTTTTATAAACAGAATGCGCAAAAAATAACAATATAGCAGAATGTTAATTAATTAATTATTATTAATAAAAAATTATACATTAAAATGGATTTCGATTTTATTTATAAAAATACATGATTTTAGATATAACTTTTTTTAAAAATTTCATAACATTTTATTTTTGTTAAAGACGCCATTTTATATAGGATCGGATAAAAAAAATTTATAATATTGGCCGATAACCGATATTTTAAAATGGGTTAAATATCGGCCCTATCCGATCCGATAAAAAATATCGGTACATCCCTAGTTAGGATTAGAGGTTGAAAAATTTTTAAAGAAAAAAAAAGAATGGAAGAGATATTCCTTTATTATATATAATAAAAACATTATATTATTTTGGTGTTATGATTACTCTTTGCCTTTTCAGATTGCCTATTATATCAAGGATACCTTGAAGATTTGTGAGCTCGCCCCAAATGATTTTGATTTGGGAGTAGTCCAGACCGCTTATGCCAACGGGAGTTCCACTCTTTACATACGGGATAATTTGGTATAATATAATGATAATAATACTGATCAATAACTTCAGGCTGCGCTCTTAAGTGGTCTCTTTCCAATTTTCAAAAATTAATCAGAGTTTGGAACTTGGACTAAACCCGGTTATAATTCTTTTAAACATTTTAGAAACATATTCCGATACTAAGATAAAATTTCACGTAGTTTCGAATTCCGATGCCCCGAATCCGACTCCAAACTCTTAATAAGCAATGGGAAAAAATATTAACCACTAAATAAACCCTGTAAAATCACACAACACTTAAAATAATATAGTGCATATAAATTAGTTGCATTTTCTGTTAAAACCTGTTCCTGGAAATTTTAATATGGGTTTCCAAGTCCTATAAATATTAAGAGTGGGTTTCGAATCATAGATTTTTCCCGGCTTGGAGGGTTCCGATTTTAAACTTTGGATTAAATTCCAATCTTTTTTTATTATATCCTTAGAACATGAAGGTATACTTCACTCCTACCGGTGTCAAACATTTGCACCACAAAGCGGCTCAATTGGACGTTGGCATTTATTTCGAGGCTAACGGACATGGAACTGTAACGATTAAACAAATTTTAAATCTTTATTAGTTTGTAAAAATCATAAAATTTACAAGAGCTTTCTTATTTGGGGGTTTTACCGCTCGTATATAACTTTATTTTTTATATTCATACGAGGAGAGAATTTTAAACAACCTCATATAAAACAAAGATTAAAATATTTTATACGAGCTTATGTTTTTAATAGTGTTGTTAAGAGTTACTTTTGAAACTTAACTGATTACAGTAACTAGTTATATTCATAAATAAGTAACTAGTTACAGTTATATTTCCAAAGTAACTAGTTTTATTATAAGTTACTTTATAAATCATTTATATAACGCATCATTTTTTTTTATTTAATATAAAATATTACGACTTACAAATCTTAATCAATGATATTTAAAAGAAGATATACAAATTATTTAGTAAGTCAATGAAACTCGGGGAAGTTTTTAATATTATTATTTTCTTAATAAAAAATAATGCGATCGCGTGGATATTGGTGGAGATTTTTTTTGTGAAAAGTAAAAATTCTTTAATTTTACATTAAAAATGGTGTATATTATTTAAAAATTTTAAAAAGCGTGTGCTATATTGGATGCTACTAAGTTAAGACTATTAAATTAATTACTAGATAATTAAGCAATTTATTTGAATAAACATAATATATAAACAATGATGATATAGATATATATATATAATTTTGAGTAAAAAGAAAATAGTTCTATATAAATTTATATTATAAAATTTACTTAAATTTTACATATTTTTAATATTACGAAAATAAGAATATTCATATATATATAAACAAGAGGAAATGGGGATGTTCGTCTTAAGATCCCTCCTTAAGCTCAATACTTTGACTATGAATCGATATATCATTTGAGTCCATTAAGTTTCTGCTGTGATTGACCGAGTAATGATCATATCCATTTTCTTTAAGATTTTTATAACTTGAAAAAATATTAAATTTTAAAATTTATCAATATTTAATTTACCCCTTCCATTTGTCCGTCGTTATAGTTGAATCAGTTTGGACGTGCTTACTGATTATACCAAGAAGGGTCTCATTATCTCTTTTTTAAGTTTCAACAATAAAAAATTTTCGATCATTTCTTGATATCCCAAATGCAACCCAAGTGGCATTTGATTTTAAAATCCTCCCTGTTATTTTTCCTTTTAAAAATATGGGATTCATCTATTTTGATATGTCCAGGGCCCCCTATTTTTCAAAAGATATTCCCTGTGTATGGCAGTAAATTTTTCTAAATATTGCATACCTAAAAAAAACTTACTGTCAAATATTATAGATATAGTTTACCATTTTCCAATAATAATACTTTGTGCCAACCCTATTAAACGAAGACTGCCATTTATAGAAGCCCTGGACACAAAAAGATATAATAGATGAATAAATTAGTTCACAGGAAGATTAATATTTTTAAATATAGTTTCTAATTAATATTTTTAAATATAGTTTCTAATTAAAATACAATTTAAAAATTAATATGATATTAAACCCTTCCATATAGAATAGCTGCTTGAACATGTTGACATCTGCATTTTCTCCATTTTCATGCTATTATAACAACACGTGTGATTAATAAGAATCTCATGATCTTTTAAAAAAAGCCATGGTTCTTGTATATGAAATTTTGATAGATGTAAAATTTATGTAATCCATAAAAAGGGGGAAAAAATATTTGTTAAATTTAAAAAATATTATACGTTAAATTAACAATATCGAAATTACGCTAATGCAACGAAAAAAATATGCAATTCTTAAAACTTTTGAGTAATGAAACTTTGAATTATTATTACATCAAAAAATTTCCACCTATATAAACTCGATCGCATATTTATTTTTATTAAAAAATAATTAAAAATTTCTTCGAATTTCAGTGACTAAATAATTATTTATATAAAAATATAATCATACTGAAAAAAAATCCGTAAAATAGTATTTACACCGAAATAAAATATCAGAATATCATATATATTTGCACCGATTATTTTTTAAAAATTCGGGCTTAGTATTTGCTTTTAACAATAAACACTATTTTGAAAATTTCTGTCTAAAGGCCCCGCTTGTTTATCTTCAAAAATAAGTCTCCCTGGTCTGAGAAAACGTTCTGCGGGAACACTTGGTGAGGGCAACATATTTAATAAAAATAATTTAATCTCTTTTTAATTAGTTAAGATGATGGCCCAGATGTAAATTCGACAAAGGTTGACATTTCCATATGGCAATGTTATACGCTTTCTTATCATTATAATTATATAAAAAGATCTTGTTGGCATCTTATGTTGCTACTAAGTATAATGTATGACAAGAACATCATCATGTAGACATTAATTAAGTTAGTTTAATTTAATTATATTTAGCCAAACAAAAATCTTGTTGCATGTACATTTAACTAAAATTTAGTACAATTATTTAAGACATATTATGTGAAAATAATCTTACAGAGATGTGTTCACATAGCTTGGGTGTGGATGACTTAGATTCTGAAATATGCCTTTTTAGTGTTGTTAAACCGCACGATTTGGGTCGACTTTTAGAAATAGACCGATTAAGATTTTAGTCAACATGATATTATGTAAACCTTAATTAGCCAAATAGTGGTCTAAACCTGTCTAGAGTTGTTAAAGTAGCGCGCTATTTTTTTGGTAGCTATAGCTAATAGCGCGCTACTTTTTTTAAAATTATTATGCTTTTAGCGCTCTCCTTTTTTTGCACTACTTAACTACTTTTTAAAAATATAACTATAAACATAAAAATTTAAATAAAATATCATAATTAATTTTAATTCTTATGATTTATGATTTAATTTTGAAATTGAAGTATATTTTCAATTTTGTATTATAGACCTAAATCACGTAACGTCATCGCAAATGTATATCCAAATCGTTGAAAGTGAGTCAGATGATGATATGGAAGATACCCGGGAAGAAAATGTTCTTAATAACAATAATACATTTCCCATTTCCAAAATTTGAAAAATATTATCTAAAAACCAAAACTGGCTGCAAATTTATTTGTTTAAAATATAAAAAAAATATATCCTTAAATCAATCCAATAGCTATAACCTCAAAAAACACCTAAAGGTAATTGTCATTTTTAAATTCTAATAGTATTTATGCCAACAGTTTTAAGGAAAAAATAATTGTGACTCTACATCCAAAGACCAATTCACTTCAAACCAAATTGATTAATAATGCACATGCCAATATTTCGCAGAAACTGGCTGATAAAGTTATTGTTGATTTTATAATTGATACAGTTCAGCCAATGTCCTTGGTTGATAATCCATCATTCACCATGATATTAAAACATTATCCCCTGGTACAACAATTTTATGTCACCAGACACTAATGAATGAGATAGCAGATAACTTAAAAGTGATAAAAAATGCTCTAATGCCTAGTCATCAGAGATGCTCATGCCATAATCAAAATTTGATAGCAACAGTGGGAAGGATCCTTAAAAAATGAAGATTTTAAATGAATATCAAGATCCACTTTTTATAAATGTCAAACTCTATGGAATATGCAGAACAAATCTTCTAAAGGCTCAGACATATTTTAAAAAATTAGGCAGATATTTATTAACTTCTAACTCCACTGATGGAACTCACTATACCATGCAATCAAATTAATAGCATTTTTTCTGGATGAAATTAGATTAGAAATGAATTTTCTCTGTGATCATGTTGGAACTCAATATGTTAACGATGAAGAGCATACTTTTATAAAAGAGTATACAGAAGTAATTCTAATTAATAATTATTCAATTTCATATCATTTTAATTTTTTAGGTTATGCAATATGTGGCTCTTTCCCTTGAAATTTTGAAAGGTGAGGATAATATGGAGATGGGGTTCTGGCTCATGGTATTAAATAGTCTCATACCAAACAAAAATGGCCTAGTTACAACCACAAAAATGACTTTCACTAATAATTTTTTTTTCGTTTTTTAAAATCAAAAAATACTCAAATTAGTATTTTTGATAACCTTTTTTATATTAAAAATATGTATATATAATTAAATACTGCCTTGTCCTCACGTGCTAGTGTTGAGAGATTATTTAGTAAGGCGAAACTTATACTTTCTGATCGTCTCTCTAGACTTGGGAATGATAATATTGAAATGATTTTATTATTAAAATGTAACAAAATAAATAATAAATGAATATTACCATAAATATTTATTTTTATTACATAAATTTTTTTATAATCAAAACTAAGTATATTTAAATATTTATCAAAAAATTATTTCTAAATTATTTTTATTAAAAGTAGCTAATAGCGCGCTATATTTTTTGATGGGTAGCGATAGTGGTAGCGCTCTACTTTTAAAAGTAGTGTTTAACAACTCTGCTGTCTACCATATATGAGAAAAATCTTCAAACATATATATTGGCTAAAATCTTAATCTGGCCCTTTTTAAAAATCGAGTCGTTTAAGAATATTACATAGGAAACACTTAACGCTAATATGGTCTCTACTACAAGTTTTCTCTGTGAAGTCCTAAATATCTTTTGAAATTTGGCTAAGGTAGTTTAACATCTGTCTGTTTGGTATTACTTTTGAAAAGGGATGGTATAATTTTGAATCATTCGAATGCCATCCTCATTAAATGACAAGTCAGAGTTAGAATTTATATTAAATTCTGTACATAGGCGTAGCTAGAGAGGTACAAGGGGAAATCCCCCCCTTCTGAAATTTATATGTTCTTGTAAATATCATTTTAAGCTAATAAAAATTTTCTCCTACACACCACCATCTCCTCTTTCCCCAAAATATATTTAATATATTTAGGGTTGTGCCGATCCACAAATTTTTCAGATCCGATCTGGTATTTTCCGATATTACTAAAAACCGATCCGATGTTTATATTATTTTTTATTTACCATTTATCTTTGTATCAATGTCATTAATATATCAATATTTCTTACTTTAAATAAACCAACTAACTTTCACGAATGATTAAGTGTATTTTATTTTTCATAAG